AAGATTACGTCTAATCCCATTATCCCAGGCAATGTGAAACAGAGCACATCAGACAAATGGTCGTGGCAACGGTACGCATACTGACGCTGTGAGGCCCTTGAGCTTCATCTGCGCGGTGGCCCGCAGCTCCTCGTACGTCAGCCTCCCCTGCTCCTCCTGTGTAGCGACCATCGACCGCGTGCCTGGCTCGACGCTAGCCGGCAGCCTGATGCAATCGGCCGTCACATAGAGCGTCGAGGGGTACTTGCGTCGTGGCTGCGTTAGCCACCATTGGTACACCTATTAGGTTGTAACCATGGTTAACTGTCATCGATGCAGTGGGTAAGATAAAGTGAAAATGCATTAGCCACCATTGGTATACCTATTAGGCTGTAACCAGGGTTAACTCTCAACGATGCAGTGGGTAAAGCAGAGAGAACATGTTAGCGCGTTAACCGATGGCTCCGAGGACAGCCGTTAACCATGAGTCCTCCACTGGGGACTACTCATTCACAAGCTGTCTACACTGCACAGCAGCTAATAGCGTCGTTTAGACGCTATAACGTCATAGGAATATAAAATATATTAAATTTATTTGTCTATAAAGTTGTGCACGCCCAGGTGGTACGATCATGCATATTTCACCCACATATAACACACTGTTGATGTCTGCTGCACACACACATGATGGGGCGAGTTATAATGAATCCTACCCGCTCTTACACGTGCATTTTTGCCTAAAACAGAAGGCACTGTGTCTGTGGGTCATACACCGGTCACGCAGCATGCCAAATTAATAACGGCATACCGCGTATCCCACTACAGCTTTGATTGATGTGTCGCCATAACGAAGCAGGTGCACTTCTTTACTTACGTCGATAGTGCCAGGGGTGGTGATGTATTTCGCTGGTGGCAGGTAGAGTTGCAGGCGCACTCTCCTGCCGACATTCGGTTGACCGTTCGCACCGACTAGCTTCAGGAACGCCCAGGCGACATGGTGCCAGCCACTCTGCTGCCCCCTGGTAGCAAACTTCAGCGCTGCCGTGCTCATGCTGTTGAGATCTAGTATCTGGGAGAGTGGAGGCTTGATTACACTCAGGGTAACATCTTACATGCCATCATTTGTTGTATATAATATGTAAGTCAGTGATACAGAGGTCAATCTCTTTTTTTTAATGAATGGTACAGTAATTGATTGATGAATGCAATGTAAAAAATTAAATAATAAATCAATCAATAAATTAGTAAGTGATTCATAATAATAGATAAGAGGATTATTTTGTGATGAGTAGTCCATTGGAAAATCAAATCACTATTCAATTACCAAATAAAAAAAAAATCATGAATAAATACAAGAATAGTCCAATATAGGAGAATAGCGAATAGCAATTTCGGTAGGCATAAGTACTGGTGAGCACTCCCTAGCTAACAATCACAGGGCACTAACACACGTAGGAGACCTATGCTGAAAGGGTGAGAAGGGCAGATGAAAGCATGCGACTCTTAATCTGGCTGCAAAGACAAGAAAGTCACACTGTTACAGGGTTAAAAATTAACTTTTGAACAAGGGAGTCCAACCCCCTCAAAAAGAGGGAGTCCGTAGCAAAATGAGGGAGTCCGTAGTCTGAAGTTTAAAACTAAAGCACAACAACAATAACGCATGTGCGTATTTGAAGATTCATGCGATGCACGTCTGCCAAATTTTCTTTGGACATTTGCTGGAAAAAATACGCTAATTCCGTGAGGCCGTGCCCTGGAATGAACTTGTTAGTACAACAGAATTTTCAGGGAGTCCCACGGACTCCTGCAGATGTCAAATCAGGGAGTCCGACAGTAAATCAAGGAGTATTTGACTCAGGACTCCCGTTAATTTCGCACCCTGCTGTTAGGAATACCTGCGGGACGAGAAAGAAATTAATGTGGTTGCCTTAATTGGGACTCATATAATGTCCAACAGACTGCTACTGTGCTACATAGTTAGCCATCAGAGTACTTTAGACATACTTAGTTAACAAACGAGGCAATGTTTCTAATGCATCATGGTAACATAGAAGTGGAGGTCTCACCTCAAAAAACAACAGTGCCTGGGAAGATTTGTCGATGAAGTAGTTTGCATTCTCGTTGAAAACAACCATTTCCTCCCAGACAGGGGTCATGGACCTGAGTGATAACAAAAAGCAGAAAGTAATTCATGTTCAGCTCTCATTATAATCCATAATTAATATTAGCTATCTAATGTAAAAATTTCTTTTCCTAACTAGAATATCAGAGACATCTAAGTATGGATTTAATGTATATAACAGATTAACATACATGTTATCAGATTCATTTAAAGAATTAATATATTACTTATTTATATTAAATTTTTTATAATAATCATAGGCAAGTATTTTTCTAGCAATTTATACATGTTTGTGCATGTGTGCATGTACGCCTATGCATACGATGCCTACATCGTGTAAACGAGGTAGCGAAGTGCTCTGCAGGCCTTTGAAGCGTTTCAGGTCTGACGCGCCTTGAAAGCTGAAGCTAATCTACGGCATCCCAGCATCCCGCGTGCCTTAATTGCCCAATCAACATGCTTTAATTTCCAGCTGTGTTTAGTGTTTACTTTCCCCAATCCCAACACATGCTGTTTTCACAGCTTGATGTAGACACCTCCAAACCGAACCATAGAGTTTATCTGTGAATATATTGAGGCTGCTTAAGACAAACGTAAATGACTTTAAATGAGTAGTTCCAATAAGCAATCAGGAATGAACTGCCCAATTTCCATAACATGCCTTCTGAAATTCCTGGGGAGAACCCATAAACAATTAATACCCAATCTAATACATATTTGTGAATGTATGTCTGTTTGTTTGTCTGTTCTCAATGCAAATAAATATGGTGCACTCTAGAAATGTCCAAGGACGTTCAGTAGAGGTAAATTTTGATGCTGAATGTCATGGGCACATTGGATTTGACCTGCGAGGTCATCTAAACAAAAACACACGAAAAAACAGAAAAAATAAACGAGCCCCTGCAGCAACAGGATTCAAGTCAAAACAGTCCAAACAGGATTCAGCTTGCATTGACTTGCTTTAATGTTACTAAAGATACAGTAGATAAATAAATAGACATATAGATAGTTAGATAGATTAAAGATAATAGATAATAGTAAATAGACAAATAGATTAGATAGATATAGATAGATAATAGATAGATAATAGATAGATAGATAGATAGATAGTAGAAGATAGATAGATAGATACGATAGATAAAGATAGCAATCGCAACGTTTCAAATAGCATAGCTAGATGATAGATAGATCAGATAAATAGATAGCCAGATACAGATGGATAGATGGTATGATGGTATAGCTGGATATGATTAGATATGAGAGATAAATAGCATATAATAGGGAGAATAGATGAAGCTACGATAGATAAATATTAGATAGATAGAATAGACAGACGAAAAGACAGACAGACAATGATAGATAGATGATATTGATAGATAGCTAGATAGATAGATAGATAATAGATAGATAGCATAGATAGAGAGATAGATAGATAGATTAGATAGAATAGATAGATCCAATTGATCGATCAAATAGCTAGTAGTACGTAGATAGATAGATAGAGAGATAGATAGATGATAGATAGATACATAGCATAGCACTAGATAGACTAGAATGATAATGGATTAGATAAATTAGATAATCGATTCGGATAGATAGAAAGATAGATAGCTCGATTTGTATAACATAGCATAGATACAGATAGAAGTTATACAAATCGCAGGCAGTTAGCTGTGTCAGTAACGGTACTAACAGCACAGCTGCTTTAATTTTTCTTCACGGTGCATGACTGTGTACCACACCCAACGGAACCAATTACTCATGGGATCAATGGATACAGGAAAGTGGGATGAGAACGTCTGCCGGCATGTACTAGCGCTATGTTTTGAGCGTTGTTTCCGGTATACAGGAAGTCAGAGTCACAGGTAGATCAGGTGCTAGCCAGTCTAGTTGGTAAGCCGAGACACTGGACAAAGCAAGGATATCCGGCAAGTGAGAATACGCATATCCAATAAACGCAGAGGGAGTCAACATAATTTATGGTAATGTTAAATTTACGCTCGATGTAAAACGCATGCAGGAGAACGCCGTGTTACAAGTGTGCCCGTGGTCAATAGAGCATGTGTTTGTGGTACGTGTGTTGTTAGCCTGACGAGGCTGCGACTGACTGTCGACTGTAGACAGGCGACTGTCTAACGACGTATTTCTAATTCTAGCAAGACCGTTTCTTGGAGCTAATGTGTTTGCTAGAGGGTGTTTGGCGGTGTGACTTCGGACTTCGTGGTCAATAGAGCATGTGTTTGTGGTACGTGTGTTTGCTAGAGGGTTTTTGGCGGTTTGACTTCGGTGCTGTTTGGGTGCATATGGCACGTCTGTGATGAAGTTTCCATAACTGAATGCCGAAGCAGACTGAAGGATCAATGTGTACGTATCTAGTTCAAAACCAGATTATGACATGGGGACTCAGATAAACAGGCAAAGGCAATGTCAGGGCCGTAGTGGCCGCCACGGCAGCACGCACGCCGTGCTTTATTTTGAAAAAAAATTCTGCAGGCGAACAGAGCAGAGCAACATATACCAAGGAGCTGGAAACCCTGTGGGGTTGGGGGGGAGGGGCGGGCACTCCACCGCACATTATGCGTAGGTATGTCCACGCGAATGCGGCAAAAATGGGGGGGGGGGCTCTGGAACTAACTCAGACCTGAAAATGGATCTCTGAAACTAATGTTGTTGAATGTGGTATGCTCTGGAACTGGCTATGTTCGAAAATGGGGGTCTCCGCGAACTAGGATTTCGTTGAAATTCAATGCTATGACACTGGACACGTTTAAGAAGGAGTCTCCGAACGTGGGGGGGACAGTGATTTGCTTAAAATCTAGCTGTACACTTGAACCAATAATTGTTGTATTATGTAGAGGAGAAAAACATGACCCGGAGAAGTGAAACGCCTGCACGCACACGCGCACGCCACGCAACGCACAGCACACGCACACGCACACACACACACAGACAACACACGCACGCACGCACGCACACCATAAACACACCCACGTTGCATGCATGCCTTTACGGCCCGGCTTCAACGTATTCTGAAGTACGATTGCACTGGAACGGGAAATATTAAAACAAGTGCGGCCGAGCGACAGCCGCATCTCACGTCTATGCGCGGTGACTCTTATGTGGAGTGGTGGGATTCTAGTAAACCTTTTAGTCCCAATGTGTTCACATACACGCCGAAACAGTGGAATGCACAGGATGGTATCAGGAACCTTTCAAAGGAATGTTCGTTGGATCGTTATGAAATTGCCACGAGATGGCGCGTACGTTAAGTGTCTTCAGATTAAAGATGGAAGCTCCCATCGTACGAAGTAGCAACAACTATTTGCAAGACAGAATAGGTAACACTCACCATTTACCTAGGCAAGCCTACAGGCTGCAATAGAGAGCTGCCACTGTAACCAATTAACGCAGGCAAAAACTACACAGACCACCAAACATGCACTGGAGTAGCCACTGGCAGTGGCATACGGTACATGTAACATACTGAACAGTACAGAATGCTATAGAAATATACGATTTAAAGCATAAACCTTCTTTAACCAAATTTAGCCTTGAAATGTTCACGTGACATTGTAGCCTCATACATCCAGCAGTATAGATTCTACTAGCAAACCGCAGTCAAATTCTTTCTAACAGACAGTCAACAAATCCATGTTTAACCCTCCTCTGTGACGTCAAAGGTTATCTGCACTTACTCTTCGCAGTCAGCAGAAAGTAGATTTCATGGTGCCTTTCAATAACGCACTAAAAAGCTAGCGTCACCGCTGAAACAAAAAATTGTTTCAATCGCTCCGTCAGACCATGCCTCAGAAATGTCTAAAATCTCCCTGTGCCCATGACCTTTGACCTGTGCCTCAATTTCGCACAGTGATGGCTTTCCTACCATGATGCTATACACAACTGATTCACGAGCTAGGTCGAAGCGTTTAGATTTGTGCCCAATTCTGCATTTCCTCCCTATACCTATACAAAAAAAACCAGTAAGGATGAATGTCCCTTCTTTTACACCTCTTGACCTTGACTTTGACCCCACTTCGACATCCCACTGTCAAACCACTCGTCCGTATGCTAACCAAACGCGACGACGGTCCCTCATCGCCCCCGCCACGTCCAGCGCGAATATCGTGACCGTAAGCGAGCACGTTTAATTTGCTGGCCCAACTATTGACGGACGGACGCGACGCTCGCACCGGACGGGGACGGCGGAAGCGGACGGACGATCATAGCGATTCTACAGCTGCATCTGACTATGTCAGATGACGCTAACTAGGGTCTCCGGAACGCAAAAATGTAAGATCTGCATGGTAACTAAAGTTAATGCTCTGGAAACAAGATATTTAAAAATGCGATGCATCTGAAACGGGAAGTTAGGCGTTAGGGCTTAAAATTGGGGTCTCTCCGCACGACATACCATACCATGCAATATACTGGACGTGCCCCGCCCCCGACCCAGCACGCACCCAGCTTAAGGCCCCTCAACATTCAATCGTCATGCCATCGTGCCACCCGAGGACATGTTAGACAAGGTACGGGAATGAACAGGATTATTCTCACGACTTTTGTAAGTTTGCCTCCCAGACAGAAGAGTAAAATTTGAATAATAAAAAATATAATGACCAAGTTTATCCTACTTGGCACTGTCTCCGGTATATACTATGAGAGGTGTCTATATCAGTAGCCCTCTACAGACTTTAGCAATCGTGTATTCAATCATCGACAATCGCGCTGCCTATTCAAATCAAACTTCAAACATACAGAACTGTACATTAGTGAAAGTATAAAATGCTCATCGAAAATAGGCTCATTTTCATATTATGTACTGGTATATATACTACATTTTGTAAATCATGTTTATTACTTAATCATACTCATAATATATATTTTAGTATACTTTAGTCAAAAAACATCAGCATGTTGAACTACATTCTCTTTGAATTTTACAAATGACTTTTAAATGATCAGAAATTGCGTTGCTTTCAATTAGGCCCGTGGAACATGCCAGGAAAATGCCCCATTTCCCAGGCTCTAAATTTTAAAAGTACCCCCAGACACCCCCCCCCCCCCGCATCGGCTACATATTTCTGCAGTGGCACTTTTTGGGAGGCCACTACGGCCCTGTAATGTAGCCAGTAGAAAAATTTGGCAGGCGAACTGTATAGTTTCAGCGAAATTGAACACGAAAAATTCTAAGAAACACTGCGCACTAGAAACTATTTTAGATATCGCACTGAAATGCACGCGTATTCAAGCATAACCGAATTGCTCTATTTGAGATGCGCAGATTAAATCTAGAACCAATGTACACGCCTAGTCTGACTTGCTTCAAACTATCAAGTAATAACCATTCATCACAACCAGTTTTTCAACAAAGGATTGTTGTTATCTCTCACACGTGCAGGTAACAGCAGCGGCAGCAGGAAAGGTGACAGTGGCAGCAGCAACAGCAGTAGTGGAAGCAGCAGCAGCGGTGGAAGCAGCAGCAGCGTTGGCGGCAACGGAAGCAGCAGACATCCCACATATTATCAGCATCCACACGCCGCCTTCACGTGAGCTTGCAACGATGCATCCCTGATTCGCTGCTGCACGGAGCATTCAGTGCTTACACTGAGGGTGTGGAGCAGTTACATTACTACCGCTCACTAATGTGCGCAAAGGCTAGCAATCTAAACTAGAGACTGCGCACGTGGACGACGATCACTCGCAACCCGACAAGCAGCATGATGATGGTGAACCTTGTCACAGTTGTTCTAGGAATCATAGTATTCCTCCTTATGCTCTGGTGGATGACCTTTCCCAGGAATCTTCCCCCGGGACCACGTGGACTACCGATCCTGGGCTACCTTCCTTTCCTTGGAAAGCACCCGTATCTAACACTGACCGGTGAGTGGATCACACGTGGAGAAATTATTTAAGACATAAGATATGATTTTTATGTCATTCAATCGCAAATTTGCATGTTAATTATACATTAAGTTGTACACATTAAATTTTACTTTGTACATATGACAGGTAAATTTTCAATGGTACTTTAATCTTTGTATTGTACCGGTAACTCTGTCGACTAACTATGACAAGTGAAGCTATTCATCGTTATTCTTTCTTAATAATACTAAAGCTCAGACGCAATATTTTTCACCAGAGTTGGGGAAGAGGTATGGACCAGTGTTCACGGTATGGCTGGGCCCAGTACCCGTCATAGTACTGAATAGCTACGATGCTATACGAGAGGCCTACGTACACCGCGGTGCCGATTTCATGGACAGAAAGTGCAACTTTGTCCAAGAACACCTGTTTGGGTGTGAAGTCACGAAACAAGGTGAGAACTTTATGTCAACTCTAGATGCTTATCGACATGGTCGTAATTTTTATTACCAGTGAAGTTACAGGGATATCCTTGCATGATAACTCGAACGTTTCTACCATAAATGGGGGACCAGACCTGTAATCTACACGGAATATCTGTGGCTATGGTTTACTATCAGAGTAGACTGTTCGTATATAGTTCTGATAACACAATAATAGGCAATACTCATACTAACCATTTGCCCTCACATTTTTTAACACAGTACTACCGGCCAGACGGAATCTGGACAGGAATCACTAAAACGTAACAAAATGATCTATTCTCCAGGCTATTTCTGCCACAAACTGGACCAGGGTCTAATGGACGGTCTTCGCATCGCTCGTCACGCACTAGGGGGCGCTGGGATAGGCAGAGTGCCGATTGAGCAGCAGATCAGAGAGGTCTTGGACAATCTCATAGAGGAATTTGTTCGCCATGGGAAAGGGAAGCAAGCTTTCAATCCCCGGGCGAACCTCAGTGCAGCTTGCTCTAGCATCAGCTGTGCCGTACTCTTCAGCAAAAGGTACACTGTTGATGTAAGCATGGCGATAGTAGAAGAGGCAATATGCAGATGATAATCTCGTTGTGATGATATGATTGACATGAAAAAACTGAGGTGACTAACAACTGTGTAAATCACACTGCCAGTAACTGGTGGCGTCACCTCTTGGAGAAGGGTGGGATCACTCATTTATCTGGTTGAGTGAAACTATTTGAAAGACGTTGGGGGTAATATGTTAGGGATTCTCGATCTCAGAATGGATATTCTTTGCCAACCGAAGAAAAACAGCAACTTATCAGTACATCGTCGTCATTTTCTGAAATAAATTTAATTCGGCATTTAGTCTAACAGTAAAATGTGTGCATATGATGCAGGTTAAAAATTGGAGACAAGTCTCTTCAGGAGATAGAAGATGGTACAGAAATGATCATGGAATCGATAAAGGCTCCAGAGGGACTGTTTCCATTGCTGCGATTCAGACCTGGGTCACCCCTCCCAGAGGCTCAGAGAGCTGTTAAAACCATGAAACAAATAATAATGAATGTGAGAGAGTGATTTCAGACTATGTAACAATTACTACTTATCCTCTTTTCCATATCATCCTGGTTCCAATCTTCCATATAAAATTCAATTCTATATAATATAAATTCCCATCTAAACCAGTGGTTCTTAACCTTTTTTTGAGTCATGGCTCATGGGCCCCTTTGAGAATCTGGTGAAAGCTACGGACCCCTCCCCAGAAAAATGCACATAAGCACATAAACACAATTGTTTTTTATGCGCCTGGTTCACGGACCCCCTGAGGCCCATCCAGGAATCCCAAAGGGGTCCATGGACCACAGGTTAAGAACCCCTGATCTAAACCAATCACTAGATGGTGTTACTTAAAAAACTGCACATCTCCATAAAACTAGCTATTACCAGATGCCATTAGTGTAGGAGATCCAGCACATGCCTAATATTTATAATATATTGCCTATTAATATTTACACCATATACCGATATTCTAAATTGCCATTGACCATGTAGCAGAGATATGAGCACATGATAGTTTATATACCAGTCTCATAGTATCTAGGATGTATAGTGTATTCTTTCTGACTTACTTACATGAAGCCACCACTGTTTGAAAAATCAACACTAAAACCCTTCAGATAATTAAAGAACATCAAGATACAATCGAGCCACAGAACCCCAGAGACTTTGTTGATTACTACCTGCAAGAGAGAGCTGTTGGTGGGAAAGCAAAAGGCACGTATCATTTGTGTTGTGACGTTTTATGTATCAGTTACTTGCACTGCTTTGTGTTATTTGCACAGCATATTTTTAAGAATTGCTAACAACAGCATCAGTAAATGTTCTGCTGCAGATGACAGTATGGATCTGTTTCAATCGTGTCTTGACCTGCTCATGGCATCAAAGGACACATTAACAGCAGCTCTCTGTTGGCTGCTATTTTATCTTGTCAACTATCCTGATTGGCAGCAAAGTCTCCACCAAGAGATTATGAAGGTGAGAAATCTCCGTGAGTAATGCCAACAAGCTCCTAGCAGCCTACATCTACCAAAACTTACGAGTACTTACAAAAATACGAGTAGATTCATTTCTTCTCACGCCGCTCGAACTAAGCATTGCAAGTGGAGGATTATTCTGGTTAAGGTTCATTAAAACAGCAGCTTCTACTGCAACCCTGCAGTGTAAACCGCTAATGAATTTTACTAAAACTGCTGCTGCAATAGACTCACTGACTCTCAAATATGGCTCATTCTGCGTCCACTCACAGGTGTGCGGTGCATCCGGCTACCCATCGTACAGCGAGCGCAGTCGCCTGCCTCACGTGCAGGCGTTCATATCAGAGGTGCTGCGGCACGCCAGTGTTGTCTGCGTGCCCCCGCAGCACATGCTGAAAGTTGGTGCCACCACACTGCAAGGTTACGACATACCTGCCAACGCCCAGGTCTGTGCTAATCTGTGGGCGGTGCATCACGATGAGTCATTGTGGCTCAACCCACACAGATTCTCTCCCGATCGCTGGCTGACCCCCCAGGGAGAGTATACAGAGTGCAGCACACTCATTCCCTTCTCTATTGGTGGGTATTGAAAACCTTAGATTCATTACTCCTCTCTGATGTATTATACTGTCACTACTACATCACCTTTAATCTGTTAAACCTATCACTCTAGACTTCCAAACTTTTATTCTATTTCATTGATGATGTACTCATTTGCCTACTGGCATCCAACATCGATGCATGCCATTTCGCAATTTGTAGAGAGTAAAGCCAAATATATCGGATGGGAATAATTTTTTACTCTGATGTGTTTCTCATTTTCATGAGATAGCTTTGATTCATGTCATGTACCTTTTTTATACCTAAACAGGACAAAGACTCTGTGTTGGCTCTCAATTGGCTGAGATGGTGATATTTCTATTCCTGACAACATTAGTGCAGGACTTCACATTCAAGCCACCAGAGGGGGTGCATGACCTTCCACTGGATTCTACTTATAGGCTGGCGAGATCTCCACTGCCATTTGATCTGATAGTTGAATGCAGAAAGTCAAATTAACTAAACACACATACATGTAGATGACTTAACATAGCGTTACATCTGTTACTGTGTACAGTTTGTGCACGTGTATGTATGTGCAAACTTTTAAAGTGCAATAATGGTAATTCTTAAGGACAGATTCAGGGTTGCAGGTGAAATTTGGTCAAAATATCAACGGTACCCATTTTATTTGATAGATGCAGCTATGCATGTGTTGATTAATAAGTATGTGGTCTCCCAAACAGTTCAAAATCCCCTCTGTATGCCAACCTGGCTGGCTGTGCAAGCCTCGGTTTGCCTTTTAAACACACAACTCTAATGTTGTTAGTAATGCTGCAGTTGCAGATGTTTCAATATCGATTCTCAGAACTCACAACTCCGATTCGAAAGATTTTGGTTCTGTTTCAATGCTAACACATAATGGAGTAAAGGGCTCTCTGGATTTTTTATGAAAGATTATATTTTAGAAGTTTTGGGTCTTTATTTACATTATTGTTGTGTCATAAAAACATTAAAGATTTTCGTGCATCTTTTCAACTTATTTCTTGCAATTCCATGGACCCTTTACTAGTGCATACTATGAACAACTTATGGCTAAACATTTAGGTTCCAGCCCTTTGCTGTTTCTGAGAAATGTTGATAAAAGCATTTTTTTTCATATAAATTTACAATTTGTGCTGTCACGTAATTAGCGATGAGGTTTCTGTGATAATTTTCATGGTGAGTGTAGAGCGACTCCTCGGTTATTAAATAGATGTGTGTTTGATTGGATTTAATGAGCAGTCATATTGTAGTGCCCTTCATAGCCCGGGTACCTGTCTGTAACCCTGAGTGTATCCTTAAACAAGAGATACTCCCAGACGTCACATGTAGAATGCCATAATGAAGTATTGCCATTTCTTGCATATAAACATGTGCCTTATCTTATCTTATATTATCTTAGCCAATAAATAGTATGATCTTACTTTCGTATTTTGAAGTCAAAAGGCTGTGTCGCAATTGGCAGAATGTGGTCTACAGTTCGATTCTGCATCTCATAATATGAAGTGACAGACCTTTCCCTGAAAACAGAAGATGGAAATAAAATGTAAAATTACTTACATAGAAAAATATCTAGTAGCAAGTGCTATATAATTGTAATTTAATACAACATATTTTACTGTTTAATACACATCTTGCTCTATATGTGTTTTCTTGGCATGCATGCTATTTAATGATATGAATAAATATATATTCCTCCTTATGACTAGATTGAGTCGATACTGATATTCTGAATCCTAATCTGATTCTGTGTTCCATATATCTAGAGACAAATCTCATTATGAACAAACAATAAATATTGATAACCCACTTATTGAACTTCTTCATATACTGTCCAGTAGCTCCATCTATCACATGCACTTTGACAAGAGGATGGGAGACAAGAAAGTCTGTCTGAAGTCTATCTGTTTTGTGAATGGTTACACTCAGCACCCGGCCATCGTCTGCTATCTGTGGGCTCGTGTCCTCTGCAGCAGCACTGCTGGCAGCAGCCGCAGCAGCCGTTTCTTCCCCAGGCTCGACAAGCCGCACTGTTTATATAGGAAAATAAAACAACTACGATGTAATGATGAGGTAGAGGATCCTCATAATGACTATCTTTTCGATGAGGAACCTTTTCTACACAATGATAAAAATTACTATCTGATGATGTTCTTCTTAACAAGTAAGGCACCATTTTTGATGAAATACCCTGTGGGTTGAGAGTAGTAAAATGGTAACAATCTTGAGTAGCAAATTATCTTGCGTACCTTCCTTCTTTTTCTTCTTTTTAACTTTAGCAGTGGTTGCTTCTTCATCTGGTAGAGCCTCTTCCTGTTCCCCTTGAGCAGTTACAATTTCAGTCTCTTCCAAGTTCTTTCGTATCGAAGATTTTCTCTTCTAATAATAACGAGTAAATCACATCTATGTGGTGCATTGTTTTTTTTTTCAATTTAGCAACTCATTTTTTGCAATATCGCTTTGCTTTCCACCCAATCAAACTAAAAGAGACAATAAACGGCAACAGAAATTGTGTCTGTCAATGATTACCGACAGGTCCTTGAGTTCGATTTCTTCTTCTTCTGGCAGTTCATCGGGTTTCTTCTTCTTCTTCTTTCTGGACGGAGGCAATGGTTCTGCGTGAACCGGCTTGGCCTTGATCGGTGTGGACGGCAATGAAGACCTGGGTTTAGGTACTGGCGGTGTCACAGTTCTGCGCGTAATATTCACATATTTGTTAGCAAGTGGTGAGTTTAATATAGGAAAAAATATATACAAGTCTCCTCGGCCTCTCTCCGTAAAGCATAAGGCTGGTTTCAACAGTCAATTCTGCCATGTCCACAATTTTAGATATGATTCCTTTACATGATCAGGAAATGAACCACATGTAACATTACGGCAGCGATACTATAGGCCATGGGCACACATTTTAATGGGATAAAACTGATACATGTATGCATGTATGATTAGCCATCATGCACCTGGCAAAGGCTATAATGCTATTGAAACATGGGTGAATAATAAAAAACAGACTTCTATCCAAATCGGCTTCAAGCAACCCACTATTTAAGGCACACGTAATTTTGCTTACAACTGACGATCTCCTCATCATAAGGTACAATAGATATTCCTATATTGAAAATAAATGGTCAATTTAAACTGAAATGCTTTAAAAATTTCCATTATACAAACAAGAAACTGAAAAAAAGGCAGATGCAAAATCATTTTTAGCTTTTAAATTGTAACTAATATTGCTTCCTTTCTGATGACTAGAGGTATCTTATCTAATACATCTGCCACAAACATTGTACCATTACTGTCAGATTCTCAGGGACCACAAGCAATGATTGTTTTGTTATATGTAAAATTAACGTAATATGCCAATAGGCTTTTCATCACTGCCTACAATGCCATTATTAGTGTGAGAAAACATTAAATTGATATTGCTCTACATTATGGCAGTCAATTAATACAGAAGCCATATTAATGATAGGTCACAGAACTGTTCACTAAGCTAAATTCATAATTTTTACCAGTGATATAACAATGTCAAATATTCACCTTTGATGTGATATGTCATCTGCTACTGATGTTCTCTGGGTTTTCTTTTTCTTTTTTGGTGTTCGTGAGATTTCTTCTGCTTCCCCTCCATGTACTGCACTGCTATCTCTTTGCAACTCTGATATAGACATTTCGCTAGAAAAAAACATAACAATATTACTGTCCCCAGAAAGGACACCATGATATTCAAAACGATTTCTCAATAAAACGCAATAGCAGCCAAGTTATCATAGCTCACTTTTATGACAAGAGATATGTACATATACCATCCCAAGCACTTATTATTTGGTACCATAAGCTGCAGCATTGCATTTATTCACATTGCATTACCGGTCATGGCAAGATGGTTGCCTTCGAGATTCATTTTTCTTCTTCTTCTTCTTCTGCTTTCTTGGCAGCGTGGTGATTGTTTCATCCTCATATGCAAGGTTGTCTTCACCTGAAATATGCATAGGCTTTGTGCTATAGCAAATCAGCTCAGAAAAAAATGCCTGGTCCTTGCTGTACCTATCATTGGCTTAACCTACAACAAATATTGCTAAATTTTTGGTAGATATGATTCACTTGTTCGTTAGAAGTTGGTGCAATTACGATCGATGAAAAATCATTTTGATTTCTCAGGCTAAGATATAATTCTAAAGAAGCAAATTGAGATTTTTTTCAATTCACTAGTAGACACTAAAGGTAAGAATCAATGTCACATTTAGGATGCAATATTACCAACCCACAATTTATGATTTAATAAAAATTATGGAATCAAGGTTACCAATAATCTTGTGGTGTCTTTGTTTGGTATATCCACTGTCTTTGGTGCTGCCATCCGGATCATACATATTTGCGAGTAGCGACCCATCTTCAGAGTTTTTTTCTATGTCACGCTTTAGAGAATCGATCTAAAGATATACACACAATAGCTTTTCCATTCTCGCAATAATTATACGTAGATAAAGCACAGTTTTAATAAGACCTCTCTCATAATATGTGCATAAAATAAGTAATGGCAGATGTTAAAATGCTTGCACAACAGAAATTATTATTGGATTAGGACTGCTGTGAGTCATTCTTATACATGCATACGGCTCTTGTTAGGACATTTCAACTTTGGATTTGACACATTCATTGTATTTTTACCATGGAGTGGTTTCCATTCTTTTTCTTCTTTGGTTTTAGTCTTGGTTCCCTACAAATAGTTATTATTGATTATTACTATTTCCACAAATATTCCATCCATCTTTAAGAACAAGAGGATGGCGATGTAGTGCCCATTGAAATCATTTAAGATTCTTTAAAACTATGACATATCAACGTGTAATAATAATAACAGGACATATTTTAGATATATTATAATCTACAGCATCTGACGTGGCAGTGTAATTTACATATTGAACAACAAGTACAGTCCGACCTACTTTATCCGGCCACGTCGAAACCAGCACCCATCCGGATATGGGATTTGGCCGGATATGAGAGTTATGCTCAAACACAGCATTACTATGCAGTTTAGTAGGGTTTATGCTAGCCCAACGAGGCTGTGCGACTGATTGTCTATAAATGATAGTATTCTGATGAAATAACTGATGGTATTCTAACCCTAGCAAGACCGTTTCTTGGAGCTAGGTTTATGCATGTGATAATGTATTTACTCGTTGCTATGATTATTTGTAAGAAACTGTCGTGTTTTATGATTTATATGAAATGGAAATAAAATGAAATAAAACAGAAATTGTACCACTTCGGTTTATGTTTGTTTCTTTTGTGCTGAGATCTAGGGCTGTAACGATCGATACACTCGCTTATTCGGTGCACCGAATATTGTTGTTGGACGATACGTATTCGTTATTCACGTCATCATTATTCGAATACTGACGAATACAAATAATATAAATGGAACCTACATGTACTTGAAAAAATCTTTTTTTAAATGCAATTCTGCACCGATTTGCTCGAATTCAGATGTCGTTTGCAGCTTTCCCAGTGAACGCACCTAGACTGGTACCCGTCCCTTCTCACACGTCGAGAAGGCCGGGACGTGTATCTTACTATCACGTGTAACTCACCCCATATCGAGTGTGTGAGAAGAGACGGATACTAGGGTTGCAGCAGTATACCGGTATTGCGATATTATCGCGGTGTAATATTTTAGAATTATCATATCGTTCCCAGCTCAATACCGTGGTTTTCTTGTTGACATGTGATATACATGTGTACAGTGATGTCACGAAAATCTGACACAGCCATGCCGCGTTTTTCCAGCCATGTGCGTGCAAGCGGCGCCTTTGATTGAAATACGGGGCTCGATAAATCGCGAGTGCGTAGCGCGTTTCACTAACGTCCGCTAGTAAAAGTTGTTCGTTAACAGATGAAAGTTGTCCGGAGGCATAGTGGACATGAGCGGACAACACGCACGCACGCATACACATGTACGGGTGGTACATCGCGCAAGTTTCGAGCGAGCTTTGAGCGAGATTTTTAAGTGGAAATGAATGAAAAAACAGAGAACATACACTGCAAGATCGCGGCCGGTTAATAGAGATTTTCGGATAACGGATGGCCGGATAAAGGTCGGACTGTAATAATAAATGCCTAATATACTTTGTCGGTATGTAACTTACTCTGTATTTATAGCAGCCTTGAGTAGTTCATCAAGTTTTGACTTAGTTTGCTGCCTAGCCTGCTTCACATTTTCACCAGCTGAAAATGTATAGACATTGATTAGCTTGCTCAAGTGGTAGAGAACAATTACATATTTCCAAATAATTTAAACATGTTGAGGAAATGCTGCATAAAAAAATCGCTCAACTAAGCACTGCAAAGCTGCCACAATCCACCAAATTATAGATATTATGTCATATTTTACTTTGTGACACACTATTTAATCAACCCACGGCAAAGATATTTTTTACTTAATCTGGCATACGTACCCCAAAAGATTTTTTATTCAGTTAAATGCTAACTTGTATTTTCTATCTAGAGTGCTATTTATAAATGTACTCATCATTTATATAATACTAGCGCCCAATATTTTTTTAATGTAAAATTTTATTTTAGTTACCTAGTGGAGTTTCATCATCATGGTGATGATGAGCCTTGGTTGTCTTCAGCTTATGTAATTTGTTTGAGCTCTTCTGCATCACATCTTAAAAATTACAGCAAAACGTTTGTAATTTTATAATGAAACTGGCTATATAATGATAAATTCATTCAGGCAAACTTGCCACGCTTCATGAACTGATATAGCTCTACCTATAGCAGGCTTCAATACAGGCTTTCAATGTATTTTGGTTCTGACATTTCTACAAAGCTGAAGCTAATTTGTGACATCCCATAAATCCTCCAACATGTCTTAATTGCCCAACCGAAATGCCTTAATTTCCAGCAGTCTTTACTATTGACAATCTCAACACACTCATGCTGGTTTTCAAAGCTTGATGTATACGTCTCTAACTTCCCTAGTATATCTATGTTATAATGTATTGGGGGCCACTTGTGATATGTCTAACTGACTCAATTGAGTACAACCCCCTCTGGGCCCTATGCATCTACCCAATCTGTGCAAAAACAACATGTCATGTTATGGTGATAACCCTCCAGTGATTACCTAGCTCTTTCTCATGAGAAAAATTTATATAAAGGCAGCCTATCATGAAGTAAACTTAGAAATGCACACGATCCAGTGATTAGCCTGCTGTCAGTTTACCTTATATCACAGACTTAAATTAGAATATGCTATGATTATTCTGTGAGCATAGCATAGTAAGGCCAAACCCCCAACATCAACCCTAATCATAACCATGCCTGACTGTTTAATTCCACCTTTAACTCCAACTCCAATCATAAATAGGCCTATACATCGATCAAAAAATGACAGCACAAGTCTGACACCAAAGTGGCTATCTACAACAACATTGAACAACAATCAATTGTAGAAATCGACCACTGGATCAATGGAACTGGGGTGGGAACACTCAACTACTGAGCTATATAAAGCAATGTAACATAGCCATTGATTAATATCTCAACAGTCTATCATTGCCACCCTTCACACTATCTAATGAAAGCTAAACTACACTATACTACACCCTACACTCGGCTAAAAAAGGCTAACTACCTGGCTGTACCCAAGCTAGGTCACACACACCATGGCTAGCTATAGCCCTGGACGTTTATTCCTTAGGGACTGTCCAGTATAGAAGTAGAAGTAGAAGTAGAAGTAATGGTGCCACTTCTCAGTTGTGTGAATCTCATTTGTTATTTGTGAAACATTCAAGTAATTTATTGTAACACTTTATTTTTGCATAGGGTATGTCTTTGAAAATGTATCTATATAGATTTGTACGTATGTACAGCCTGAACCAAGTACAGATAGTATAAATAGGTCTGGATTTGCCAACCAGGCTGCAGGACTAAGGTAGATGCTGTACAAAACATATCTAATAATCTATTACAAAATTTTTACTAATTCAAAACCTATTGAAGAACTAGGTATACCTCAAAGAAAACGGTTACCTTTTAGTTGTTTTGTATTATGTTTAGTAGTAGTACTAGTACTAAGTAAGTATCAGGACAGTTGTCAACAATCATTTACAATGTTTTTGTGGCAGCATTCAGCCATTCTCTCATATTTCACTTTTGCGGATCTCAAGTTCAGCTGCAAGTTTGCTGTAGTAATTTGTATCATAAATAATCAGTAATATGTACGCTAACAGGTGAGACCTTATTTGTCTACACGTATTAATTCTTCGATTTATTTGAGCCTGAGGGATTATCATTTCAAATTTTATTGATTGGATTCACCAACAGTCAACACACAGACTGACAGAGATCGAGGGATCATTTGATAATAATGTAACATTTGAATAGACGACTATTTGAAGTAATGAGGTTACTAGTTACTTATTAATTTGAATATGTTTTTTAGTTATGTCTATGTTTAGTTTGAAGATGTTTTTACACGTACAGGCTATAATATACTGTGTGTATTGTATAACTTCCATAATAACTGCAATCTCGCATTCTTACCTGCCGCCATAGTTGTGTTGCCCGACCACAGCGCCAAACATCGACAAAAATTACTTACGCAAAATTACCCAATCAGAAAATTGGTTGAAGAAATATTTTTTGATCTGTATTCTATATAATTTATGGTCTGACCCTTATCTTCTTCTTCATCTCCCTTTGTAGAACTTTCCGTGTGTAAATTTATGGGATAAAAGTCTATTGCTATGGCTCTTGTAAAAGATGGTATAGCTCTTGTAAAAGATGGTACGACGCCCTATCTTGTAATGTAGGGTACCCCGGATAGTGTTTCAGACAGAATTCTCTCAGATAGCCTACATTTACGTGTATACATATTCGCCGAAAACTCGTCATTTTAACAGATACTGGGCATATGCAACCGATGATAGAGTCCCTATATACATCCTGGCTCGCGCATGCGCAGTAACAAACTGAATAACTGATATTTTGATTCCAAAACTTATTTAAACTGGAGCGGGGTACCCGTGTGTAGATTTATGTGATAGAAGTCTATTGCTATGGCTCTTGTAAAAGATGCTACGACGCCCTATCTTTCAGGGTACCCTGGACAGAGTGTTTCGGGTAGAATTCTCTCAGATACAAGTCATGTACGTACGTGTATATATTCGCCGATAAACTCGTCATTTTAACAGGTACTGGGCATATCCAACCCAGGATACGGCCGTCTGCCACATTAGCAAATTATATGCTAAAATTTTATATTTTGTTCCTCAGGCTAAAATGCGGGTTCGCGCATGCGCAGTAACTCGCTAAAGAACATATTTTGATTCAAAAACGTATGAAGCTGGAGTACCGGGTAGTAGATTTATGTGATAGAAGTCTATTGCTATGGCTCTTGTAAATGATGGTACGACGCCCTATCATATTTTGATTCAAAAACGTATTTAAACTGGGGCGGGAGTAGGCCTACCCGTGTGTAGATTTATGGGATAAAAGTCTATTGCTATGGCTCGTGTAGGAGATGGTATGACGCTCTAGCTTGCAGGGTATCCCAGACATAGTGTTTCTGGCAGCATTATCTCAGATACATGTATGTGTATATATTCGCCGAAAAACGCGTCATTTTAGCAGATACTGGGCATATGCAACCCAGGATATGACCGCCTGCCACATTAGAAAGTATTATAGAATTTTATATTTGGTGCACAGGCTAAAATGACAGGCGATAGATAGCCACATCCAAGTGTGGCTTTAGGCCACCTCGTC